AGCCCTACACGAATACACGAGACCCACCTGGGAATCGTGAAGATGAAAGCGCTCGCCGGGAGCAACGTGTGGTGGCCAGGAATGGACAGTGAAATCGAGGCCTGGGTACAGCATTGCCAGGCCTGCCGGGAGTAGCACCCCGAACCTCCAAGGGATCCTGTTCACCAGTGGGAGTCTACTCACACGCCATGGGCACGGGTGCATTTGGACTTTGCCGGCCCGTTCCAGGAACCGTTCTTTATCCTGGTTGACTCCTACACCAGGTGACTGGAAGTCGTGCCAGTCATCTTGACCTCCTCCCGTGCAGCCATCTGGGCCCTGAGACAGATTTTTGTACACATAATAATAATAATCTTTCAATTTATTGATCACTCAGTCCTTGCAGAGCTGCTGGGTCTGAGCGATTTACAGTTACTCATTTCACAAAGGACTAACAATGCTTTATAGGGGTAAGGGAGGACAACACATATAATCTTTACATAGCACACATTTTGCAGCCGACGGGGATTTGTTCAGTTGCAACTCAGACGTGATCCGGATGGCATTTTTCCCACTCGGCTTGGCTTGACTGGATGATGTCAGCTCTTCATCTCCAGGACTCTTCGGGTCGCAGCTCCATACTGCCACTGCCTGGCCGGAACGGCCCATTACAGGCTTCTTGATGTCGAAGAGATCTTCTAAGCTTTTCGATCTTGTGAGCCGAACCTTCCATTCGCTGGCTAACATCTCCCCCACGGGGGGGGGGGGTGGGGGGGGGGGGTTGGTGTGCCCACCCTCTCTAAGGAGTGGTACCCATTTTATCTACTCACCAAAGCTTTCAAACCGCTGGATGGACGGCGAGTTGGGGACAAGGCTGGTAGCTCACACCAGCGCGGGGCTAGAACTGACAGCAGTTCTGTTCAGCTCAGATGTTACTTGTAACCAGAGGATAAATCCCCTATTGTGACCGATAACGGCACCGCCTTCACCTCGGGAGAGTTCAAGGAGTTCCTGGACCAGAACCTCATCAGGCACATGTGGTCTGCTCCTTTCCACCCGGCTACCAACAGACAAGCCAAGTGGATGGTGCGGGCAACCAAGGAGGCGACACTGCCGCCGCCGGCCAAGAACAGCCCCCCCCCCCTGACAATAGTGTGCAGCCGGATTGCCGGGAAGAGGAAGGCCCTGCACAGGCTCCTACGGACCTCCCGGGCTCTGTTCCCAACGCGCAGGACTCCAGAGTGGTTCCTGCTTCACCAAGCCCGGCTCCGGTGTCATCTCCACCCCCACAGGAGTCCTGACGTTCTCAGAGGGAACGTTGCAAGCCAGCGTACCTTGAAGACAGGGCCAGCCCCAGCTTATTTTGCACCCTAGGCGAGGATCCCTTCTGGCGCCCCCCCCCCTCGTGTGCTTACCATTTTTCAAAAATAAATACATTTTAGGAAGAATGAAAAACACAAATAATCAAGAAACCCAGAGTACGGGCCCGGGTGCAGTTTGGCGCCCCTAAGGGCCAGCCCGCTCTAGGCAATCGCCTAGTTCGCCTAGCAAGTGAGCCGGCCCTGCTTGAACGCTATGTCTGTTAAGGTGCTTTGGAACTTAGGGGGGAGGAGTGTTATGTATTGGGACTGAACAATTCCAGGTATGTCACACCAGAGACTGGCTGAGCTTGAAGCACAAGTACAAAAGCCTACCAGGACTCTGGAAGTCACCAATCAAGTAGTAATGTTACGTAAATAGCCAATCATTGGGAGTTTTTGGGTGTGGCAATTGCATGCTATTTAACAGAGCTGAGGCTCTGGGGTCTTGTCTCAGTCTTGTTGAAATCACAAATAAAGTTGAGCTAATCACTAGACTCGAGCCTGCTCATCCATGGAACCCACTATTTAACAGAGAATTTGTTAGATAGAAGGTTCAAGACAGGAGAAAAAAGAAATATTTCCGCACACCACACAGAGTGGACTGCTGAGACTCAGTTGCCATAGGATGTAATGGTGGCCACTGACTTGAAGGGGGAATTATACAGACTCATGGACAGCAATTCCCTTCTCATAGGAACACAGGAGGTATAAGAGGAGCCATGTTGGATCAGGCCAGTGGCCCCTCCAATCGAAGACTCTGTGCCACACAGTGGCCCAAGGCCAGGTGCCATCAAGAGGTCCACCAGCGGGGCCAGAGCTCCTAAACCCCTCCTACCCCACAAGTACCAAGAATACAGAGATTCACTGTCCTACACATAGATTTCCATCTATACCTTGTGGCTAATAACCTCTCGTAGACCTCTGCTCCAGATGTTTATCCAGTCCCTTCCCAAAGCTGTCTAGGCTTGTAGGCGCCTCTACTTTCTGTGGGACTGAATTCTGTGTGTTAACTAAGATATTCCTATCTCATGCCCTGACCTGGATAGCCCAGGCAAGTCAGATCTCGGAAGCTAAGCAGGGTCAACTCTGGCAAGTACTTCGATGGGAGACCTCCTTGCAATACCGGAGGCGGTAGGCGGGGGCAGGCTTTATTCAGCCAGCTCTCTGAATATCCAACAGGCCCCCAGTAGGGGTCAGTCACCAGAGGTCGCCATGACTTCCAGGTACAGAAGCACACAAGTTATTAAAAATACAAAAAAAATCTAATCCTATCTCATGTATCTTCCGTTAGAGGGACTCAAGGCAGCTCAAAAAAAGAAAAGTTGACCTGGCACCCCTGGGAGCTTTGGAGGTGGGGCCAGGCGTGGATGTGATGTCACAGTGATGTCTCATCCTGCTGAGAATCTAGACGTGACGTCAGAGCATCAGCAGACGCTCTCGAAACCGCTTGATATTACCCTTGAGTTCTCAGGTGTGGTAATGTCACCTCTGGGTTTTTGGACAGATGCAAATCCCCCGAAGCCTGAACTCAAAGGCACATGGGAGGGCCCAGCCAGTGGGAGACTGGCGCTCCTGGGCCTTTGGCCTGATCGAGCAGGGATGCTGGCACCGTTTTGAGCTTTGGAGTTCTCAGGATAATTTCACGTGTCACAGAATTCTGAAATGTGTTGGCAGGGTTTTTACCCCCCCCTCCCCCCAAGGCTCGTAGGAACCTGGTTTGTCCCACCTCTCCCTCAAGTTGACTCAAAATTGTTACACATTTTGTTGAGTGTAGGTCCCGGGAGCAGGGGTGCAGGAAGCAGGATACACACAAGCAAAGAAAATACGAAGTCCAGGCTGACACCTTTTCTTCCAACGTTCTCCCCCTCCCAGGCAGTGAAGAGACGGTGTTGAGTCATTGTCTTTGTGGAGGAGTGGAAACGGCTGCTGCCCCTGCAGTCCAGGTAGGGGAGATGCTACAGGGGACTGCCTGAGTTCCCCCTCCTTTCTCAGGGGGGCTTTTGCTTCTGCAGTGGCTTCTCAGGCGTCTGAGCCAGAGAGGTTCTGAATGCCATGCCCTCTTCCCCCACCAACCTCTCCATCCTCCACCCTCCCAGGATGCCTGTCTTGCCTGGCTCGATCTCTGATGAGGAAGTCTGCCTTTTCTTTCAGTGTCCGTTTTCCTTTGAGGAGGTGGCCGTGTATTTCACCGTGGCCGAGTGGGCCCTGCTGGATCCAGACCAAAGAGCGCTCTACTGTGAAGTCATGTTGGAGAACTATGAGAATGTGGCCTCTCTGGGTAAGGATCTGTCTTAGGTGCCAATGGTGTGAATTGCTGCCATTGTGATGTTGTGTGAATCAAACTATTGAAGAGCAGCATGTCATTATGTGCCTTGGCCTTGTACTCACCCCCTCTGGATGAGTCCAGGAGTTGAGGTGGTGGTGAAAGCAGCCAACAGACGTGGCTGGTCCAGGGGCCACTGCGGTCACTGCTGTGGCCAGCGTGAGAGGCAGGGTGGGTGTCACAGCCTGAGGTGGAGACGGGCAAAGGCCTTGGGTCACTCTTCCTCCACTTTTCTCTCTCTCTCTCCCAAAGAAGGCATGGATGTGCGAGAGACTGCAGTGGAGACGGACGAAGGGCTGGAGAGTTTCTCAAGAGGATCTCAACAGAATAGTTCCTTCCTGAGTGAACTGGCCGCAAGTGAGTCTGCTTCGCCTTTATGTCAAGGGAAAGGGCAAAGAATAGCCATGGTGGATTTCTGCTTCACTTCTTAGCAGCTCTTGGTTGGGTAGAATGATAAAGCCCTCTGGGTAAGGAGGGAAGCCCTTTGGAGCCTGCGATCTTGGGAATTCTTCCTGGGCCTGAGCTCAGTTGTGGCTCTTTTAGTCCCTTTAGGGGCTGTCCTGTCCTTAAACACCAAATATTCCAAGAAAGGCAAGCTAATTATTTAAGAACGGCTTTCCTGGATGAGTCAGACACCCATCAACCTTTTCCTACCGTGGCCAGTTACATGTCTCCAGGCCTCCCCTCCCTCCCCCAACAACCGGCATTCTTAGGGGATTTCCCTTAGTACTGGGGGGTTCACTTGCCGAGGTCCTGACTTCTTTCCTACCCCATAAGACATGAGTTATCGGAGTCTGAAGACCAGTGCCTCTTCTCTCTCATCACACCTGGACGGAAACTCCATACAATCCCAGGACTAGAAATTATGATTGCTTTTTCTATTTCATCATGAAAACACCTGTATGGCAAGGCAAATGGGAAGGGTAGAGCAATAGATCTTTGCCAGCTTTTTCCTTTAAAGTCCATTTGGGGAGTTTTGGGGAGGGGAGGGACAGTCACCATATAGAAAAAGCTCTACTGGAAAGGCTGGCCAGGGAAAAGTTGTTACCAGCGGCTCAGGAGATAAAATGCACAGTCATTAATCAGGAGTTCCTTGTGTGAGTGGTGATTTGACCTCCCTCTTTATTCCAGTAGGAGATGTCGAGGATTCAGTTGGGGAATTTCAGGGGTTCTCACTGGAAAAAGCCCAGAATGAACAGGCCAAAGGAAACTTTGAGAATACAGATGGACCAGAGAGGCAGGAAGGAGGCCGTACGGTGAAGAGGCGGGTTCAGTCCATTCCTTGCCGAGAAGGGGGCTGCCCTGAAATCCCAGTCCGCGACCATCTCCAATGGGGTCATTCAGGAGTGACACCGCTTATCTTTTCCAAGAGCAGAATGACATTCTTCAGTGGAAGAAAGGGCAGTGTATGTTTTCCAAACCACATGATAATGAAGGCATGGAAATGCTGTTACTGTGGAAAGGACTTCAGATACAGACCACAGCTTCTTGTCCACCAAAAAATACACGCAGCACAGAAGCTTTTTGAATGTTCAGAGTGCGGAAAGAAATTCAGTATGAATTCCAGTCTACAAAAGCACCGAAGAACGCACTCAGGGGAGAAACGTTTTGAATGCTCAGAGTGTGGAAAGACGTTCAGTCGGAGTGACACTCTTCAACAGCATCAAAGAACCCACACAGGGGAGAAACGTTTTGAATGTTCAGAGTGTGGAAAGAGATTCAGTCAGAATAGCACTCTTCAACTGCATCTAAGAACCCACACAGGGGAGAGACCTTTTCAGTGCTCAGAGTGTGGAAAGAGATTCAGTCTGAGTTCCACTCTTCAAAAGCATGAAAGAACCCACACAGGGGAGAAACCTTTTGAATGTTCAGAGTGTGGAAAGAGATTCAGTAGGAACGATAGTTTTCAACAGCATCAAAGAACTCACACTGGGGATAAACCTTTTGACTGCTCAGAGTGTGGAAAGAAATTCAGTCTGAGTTCCAGTCTTCAAATCCATCTAAGAACCCACACAGGGGAGAAACCTTTTGAATGCTCAGAGTGTGGAAAGAGATTCAGTAGCAGTTACAATCTTCAAGGGCATCAAAGAACCCACAAAGGGGAGAAACCTTTTGAATGCTCAGATTGTGGAAAGAGATTCAGTTTGAATAGTAGTCTTCAACAGCATCAGATAACCCACACAGGGGAGAAATATTTTGAATGCTCAGAGTGTGGAAAGAAATTCAGTTTGACTTCCAGTCTTCAAAAGCATCTAAGAACCCACACAGGGGAGAAACCATTTGCATGCTCAGAGTGTGGAAAGAGATTCAGTCAGAATGGCAATCTTTACAAGCATCAAAGAATCCACACAGGGGAGAAACCTTTTGAATGCTCAGAGTGTGGGAAAACATTCAGTTTGAATTCCAATCTTCAACAGCATCAAAGAACCCACACAGGGGAGAAACCTTTTGAATGCTCAGAGTGTGGAAAGAGATTCAGTGTGAACTGCAGTCTTCAACAGCATCAAAGAACACACACAGGGGAGAAAGCTTATGAATGCTCAGAGTGTGGAAAGAAATTCAGTCTGAGTTCCAGTCTTCAAAAGCATCTGAGAACCCACACAGGAGAGAAACCTTTCGAATGCTTAGCGTGTGGAAAGAGATTCAGTGTGAATTACAATCTTCAGCAGCATCTAAGAACCCACACAGGGGAGAAACCTTTTGCTTGCTCAGTGTGTGGAAAGCGATTCAGTCAGAGTGGCAGTCTTCAAAAGCATCAAAGAACGCACAGAGGGGAGACACTTTTTGTATGGTCAGAGCCAGGTCCCAGCAAATGAAAGAAGGCCACAGGCCCCTGTTTCCTTCCAAGCACATGCACCTCCATTCTCGCCACCCTAACAAGGCAGAAGGACTTCCGAAAGGAAATAGGAAGGTGGAGAGGTAGCACCAGAGAGAGCAAGGAAATTTCCAAGGGTAGAAGCTTTCACAGGTCAAAGCTCATTTGGTCAGGCAGAAATGAGAACGAAGATCCGTCAGACCTCATGGCACATCTTCATCCACATGGCCCTTTTTGGCAACCCCCTTCTTGACTTCTGAGCCAGAGAGAAGGGCTGTTGGGTCTTCTTTCTCATTCCTATCTGAGAAAGTGAGCTTTAACTCATGAGAGCTGAAACCCTGGAAAATCTGGATGGTCTTGAAGGTGCTACCAAACTTGAATCCTGCTCTGCTTCTACAGACTAACACAACAACCCATCCAGGAAGCAAAGAGCGTGCCTCGCCCTTCCAGCCTTCAGAGTCCAATAAAAACCGAATAGCTCCAGTACTGGAGGGGAAGCCTCAAATATTATTATTATTTTATTTTAATTTTTTTAACATTTTAGTAAGTATTACATATTGTCTTCTTACCCGTACATTTCGTGTTAGTTTATAGCCCTTCCCTTTCCCCCCTCTCCTGCTCCAGTGCGTTAGTCCTTTATTCCCAGCCACGGGCACAAAGTCCGAATCTTGCTCTGAATGTCTTTTCAGCCTTCTGTTGGTAGCCATTCCAAGTAGGTCTTCCATTTCGTCTTAATTCCTGTGGTCTTGTCTTCCCATGTGGTCTTCCGATTCAATTTCTCTATAATAGCCAACTGTATGAAATCAAACAAATAATTATGCCAGGTTTCTACTGTCCACTTACTCTTGTCTTTCCAGCCTAGAGCTATCACTGCTTTACTTGCTAGTATCATGACTTTAAGCATAGCTTGGTTCTCTTTACTTACTGCTGGGTTTCCTATTATACCCATTAGCATTAAATTAATATTAATGGTCAGTGAAACTTTGGGAAGCCTCAATTAAAGTCACGTGCATTTGGATGGAGATAGAAAAGGATTTGAAACGATGGTCCAAACTAAAATGATCGTGGCTGGGGAAAAATCTCTGCAATAAAAATGAATGGTTTGCCGAAATGATTTTTTTCTGTTTCAGATGATCCTGATCAGTATATAAAGACTTTGATGGACTGGCAGGAAAAAAAAACAAACAACATTTATATGGAATGGCAAGAAAACCAAGTTTTAAAATATTTCATGATGAGAAAAAGGAGGAGGCTTAGCAGTACCTAACATTAAACTATACCACCAAATAGTCGCTTTGGCTTGGATTGCAGTTTGGATCAAAAATCCAAATGAGAGATTACTAAAACTAGAATCAGTGGATCTGGATGACAGACTGTTTGGATTTAGAAAGAAACTTGGAAAAATAAAAGATGAAAGTTATATAATCAGAGACACACTATTCAATATGTGAAAAAGAGAAGGAGAAGTGATTGGATTTCTACCCTGCCCTTCACTTGGAATCTCAGAGTGGCTTACAAACTCCCTTCCCCTCCCCACAACAGACACCCTGTGAGGTAGGCGGGGCTGAGAGAGCTCTTGACAGAAACTGCTCCTTTTCAAGAACAGCTCTGACAGAAGTATAGCTTGTCCAAGGGCATCCACCAGCTGCACATCTGGAGGAGTGGGGAATCAAACCCGGTTTGATGTAGTGGTTAAGTACGTGGACTCTAATCTGGGAAGACCGGATTTGATTCCCCACTCCTCCACTTGCAGCTGCTGGATGACCTTGGCCAAGCCATAGTTTTGTCAGAACTGTCCTTGAAAAAGAGCAGTTTTCGTCAGAGCACTCTCAGCCCCACCTGCCTCACAGGGTGTCTGTTGTGGGGAGGGGAAGGGAAAGGAGTTTGTAAGCTGCTCTGAGACTCCTTTGGGTAGTGAAGGGCGGGGTATAAATCCAATCTCCTTCTCCTCCTCCTCCTCCTCCTCCCAGATTAGAGCCCATGCCCCTAACCACTACATCAGACGTGGGAGACTACAAGGCTAGTGCGATTTTGGTGTGTATCAACAGACGCATAACATTTTTATTTTATTCATTTATGTATTAAATTTGTTAATCGTCCAGTCCCCGCTAGTGCAGGGCTGTGAGTACAACATTCATAGCACCTATCAAGATAAAATAATTAAAACATCAATAACACATTTCAAGCAGATCAGATGGCATGTACTAATTTATCCAGTCTCAGACTGCTGGCTACTTTGCGGGCAGGGGAGAGGAGGTATAGAAGTAGGAGGTATAGAAAGGGGTGCCGACTAGGATGGAAACCGTTGCTGTCGTCAACCATAAAACTGTGGTGGAGTTGGGAAGCGATTGAGTCAATGGAAGATGCAGAGTGAATTCAAATAATCAGAAGACTTAAGGGGCATTTGTAGAGAAAAATGAATACAGGCACACAGAAGACCTGCCGACTGAGCAGCTGCTATTATTTAACTGCAACAGAAAAACTTTACAAAATTGAGTCCAGTGTTATCCAAAGCAGGAGATCCCTAGGGGCTTCTCCACCTTTGTCCAAATCCCACAAATGCCATCCTCTTTGTGGGGCTCACTCCACGAGCCATATTCGCCCCCCCGCCTGACCATATCCTTCCAGTTCACTTCCGGCTGTGCACTTAAGCTTGACGTTGTTGGCTTTCGTATTTTCAAGCAGACGTTTCCGTGGTGGAAGACTCGGAGTGGGAATTAAGTCAGAACGCCAAAGGGGCATAAATATACCTCAGACCAGGTACCATATCTGCAGCTGGCCCTCAGCCAGTAATTGAACAACTAGCTGCAGCTGGCTCTGAGCCAGCAGAAGAGCAACAAGTGGTCAGGTTACAGGTTGAGTAGAAGTCACAGCCACTTTGCAAGATGTCACTGTACTGGTCAGGCTGCACCTGGAGGATTGTGTGCAGTTCTGGAGGCCTCACTTCAAAAAGGATGTGGACAGAATGGAGTGGCTGCAGAGGAGAGCGACAAGGATGATCAGGGGCCTGGAGACCAAGCCCTGTGAGGAAAGGCTGAAGGACTTGGGAATATTTAGTCCGGAGACGAGGAGGCTGATGGGGGAACACGATCGCTCTCCTTAAGTATTTTGGGGTGCTGTCCCTTAGAGGAGCGCAGTGAGCGGTTCCTGTTGGCAGCAGAGGATAGGACTCACAATAATGGGTTTAAATTAAGGGTGGAAATGCACCGACTGGATATTAGGAAAAACTTTTTTACAGTAAGAGTTGTTCAACAGTGGAATCAGATGCCTTGGATGGTTGTGACCTCCCCCTCACTGGCAGTCTTTAAGTAGCAGCTGGAGTCGGACAAACCCTTATCAGGGATGTTCCAGGCTGATCCTGCATTGAGCAGGAGGTTGGACTAGATGGCCTCTATGGACCCTTCCAACTCTATGATTCTATGATTTGAAGAAGAAGAAGAAGCCCTACACTATAACCTGTAATGTCACCAATAGATGCATGTTATGATAGACATGAGAGGAAAAATGTTGACTTCATAATCTATAATGATACGATAAATTCACAAGGAGAAATGAAATCTTGGCCAGCAATCAAAGGATCATAGGATTGGAGAGTAAACGGACCTCCAGGGTCATCTAGTCCAACCCTCTGAACCATGCAGGAAATTCACAAATACCTTCCCCCCACAAATATCTTCCCCCCACACCCCCAGTGTCCCCTGTTCCATGCCTAGAAGAGGGCAAGAAACCGCCATGATTCATGGCCAAACTGGCCTGGAGCAAAATTGCTTCCTGGCCCCAAAGTGGCATTTCCCTGGGCACGTAAGAAAGGGTCACAAGAACTAAGCACTGATTCAACCCTTCCTGCCCTCTCTCTCAGGATCTTCCTAAATTCACAGAATCAGCATTGGTGTCATATGGCCATCTAGCCTCTATTTGGAAACCTCCAAAGAAGGAGAGCCCTCCTCCACTGATGAAGCCTGTTCCACTGAGGAACCACGCTGTCAGGAAGCTTTTCAGAATGTTTAGTCGAAAACTCTTCTGATTTAATTTCAACCCATTGGTTCTGGTCCGACCTGGGGCAACAGAAACCAACTCTGCACCATTCTCTGTATGACAGTCCTTCAGGTACTTGAAGATGGTTATCATATGACTTATCAGTCACCTCCGCTCCAGGCTAAACATACCTAGCTCCTTCAGCCTTTCTCCATAGGGCTTGGTCACCAGACCCCTCACCATCTTCGTTGCCTTCCTTTGGACACGTTCTGGATTGTCTATATCCTTCTTAAATTGTGATGCCTCGAAGGGAACACAATAATCTAGGAGAGGTCTAGCCAGAGCAGAGTAAAGTGATACCATCACTTCGCATGATCTGGACACTATACTGTTGATACAGCTCAAAATTGCATTTGGCTTTTTAGCTACCACATCACACTGCTGACTAATGTTAAGTATATGGTCCATTAAGACCCAGATCCTTTTCACACATCCTACTGCCAAGACAAGTCTTCCCCATCCTACAACTATGCATTTGATTTTTTCCTACCTAAATGCAGAACTTTACATTTATCCCTGTTAAAAATTATTTTGTTTTAGCCCAGTTTTCCAGCCTGTCCAGATCATCCTGTATCCTCTTGACTCTGTCTTCTACTGTATTTGCAGTTGGAACAAGATAACAATGGCTAGTCTATTTTCAACTAATTTCCGTACTTAAGAAAGATGTTTACACAGAAATAGGTGGAATAAGAGATCTGACTGAATTTGAAAAAATAATTATACGGCCAGGACGGATTCATAAATTATTACTTCAATTTGATACAGAGATGGAACAAGTCAAAATGTGTATGATAAAATGGATGCAGAATTTTGGCAAAGAAATATCTTTTCAGCAATGGGAAAATTTATGGACGAAAGATATAAACTTCACAGCTTGTCAAGCATTAAGAGAAAATTGGTGTAAGTTGTTATATCATTGGTACATTAGCCCAAAAGACAATGAAAAGATGGATAAGAATTACAAAGGGATTTGCTGGAAATGTAAATAGGTAGATGGTACTTTTTACCATATGCGGTGGACTTACAAAAAGATGATGAGATACATGCTTACTTCAACTAGAGTAATATTAGCAACAAAATGGAAAACATTCCTTGCAACAAGAAGAGAAGGTTGCTTACGGCTGGATCCATCAGGGGAGGCGGACCTCTGACCGGAGGCCTAGGGAAGGTGGTCATTTTTTGTCTATCTGGCCTGGAGGACTGAAAAACACTTGATACTGTAAAAAGTAATTGTGCAAATTCTGCAAATGTTTTCAAGTGTATCTTTGCTCTTTCTGGGTTAATAACTATGGTTTTTGATATCTAGAACATATCAATCCTTGAATATGTTTGGTGTCTGTCAGAAAATAAGGTTTAGTCCTTAATCCTGGCTGGCTCCACCCGCTTTCAATGTAGCAACAGTCAGACTGTGAAGCCTCTGTGGGCCCAACAGACTTGCTGGGCTCCAATTTATAATTGGGGGGAAAGTGTGTCTCTATTTTATTTTACTTGGGTCCATATATCCTTGACTGAGAACAGTTGTTTTTTTCATGGTGGGAGGGGGGGCTGCTTCAGCCACTTCTAAGCTCTTATTTCAATTTCATTTTTAAATGGTAAGCTCATCTGCATGAAGAAGACTTGGGGGGGACATGCAGATCTGAGGCCTTTTAAAATTTTCTTTTGCCCTGTGTGCAGCCCAGAGGGAACATTGGCAAGAAATATGTACTCTGTACATGTTCATGCTCTTCAGAGAGCCAGTTTGGTGTAGTGGTTAAGTGCGCGGACTCTAATCTGGGAGAACCGGGTTTGATTCCCCACTCCTCCACATGCAGCTGCTGGATGATCTTGGGCAAGCCGTAGTTCTGACAAGAGCTGTTCTCTCAAGGACAGCTCTGGAAAGAGCTCTCTCAGCCCCACCTACCTCAAAGGGTGTCTGTTGTGGGGAGGGGAAGGGAAAGGAGTTTGTAAGCCGCTCTGAGACACCTTTGAGTTTGTAAGCCGCTCTGAGACACCTTTGGGAGATTGGCTAAATCCAATCTCCTCCTCCTCCTTCTTCATTACACTGTCACTTAAAATGGTGTGGTACAGTTTCAAATGGGCAACCAACTGGGATGTACTAACAGGAATGACAGGATTGCCTATTGGGAACACTGGTGGACCTCCTGATGGCACTGGTATTTCTGGCCACTGTGTGACACAGAGTGTTGGACTGGATGGGCCTTTGGCATGATCCAACATTGGCGTCTCTTATGTTCTTATGGGAGAGGCTTGAAGGCCCAGTGAAGATAATAGGAGCCAGGAATGCAAGTTGACTTACATGGGCTCCATTGAAATAGATTACCACCCAAAAAAGTTGCAAAGAAAATGTTGAATGGTTTTTCTATTAAGGTATTTTGGCCCAGATAGGCTACTCTGGGATTGGAATGACAGTCCCCAGAGTAGAAAGACAGTCCCTAGGAATAGAATCTGTGCTCTGGGACTAGAATGACAGCCCCCAGGGTGAAATAATAGTCCAAGAACGCTTCTGCAACTCCCAGGGGCTGTCATTACAGTCCCAGAACACTTCTGCTGATTCCAAGGACTGCCATTCCACTCTGGGGGCTGTCATTCCCATCCCGGAACTCTTCTGCTACTCCCAGGGGCTGTCATTACACTTTGCGACCTGTCATTCCAGTCCCAGAGCACTGAGCTTATTCCCAGGGGCTGTCATTCCACTCTGCAAATTTAGAAGCTGCAAGGAATACATGAATCACATGGCTACCCCTCCTATTTTTATATGTAATTTCTCCTTCAAAATCCTGATCTCTTCCTTTGATTTGTTTTCAGTCCACCATTCCATTCTATTTGTCCTGGATTCATTTGTAATTAGAAAGAGGGAAGTCCTTTCTGGTACAATTAAAGTTGTATTTCAGCAGTCTGAAGATCATTTGTTGAAGCTGAATGTGTTTTGCAAGTTGAAACTGAAGAGCAGAAATCAGCCATGCACAGGAATGCAGTCATTTCCCATTAACTTAATTATGTGATTAATTTTATTAATAATTTGTTCTGAATGTCTCTGTTTTTAAGGTGAAGCTTCTAAGAAGTATGCTAAGAAGGCGAGGTATATAAAATCCTAGGTGGCATAACTGTGTTTTCTTTGGGGTCATGGCTACGGGCGCTGTTCTGAATTGCCTCAAAATGTACTTGTACTCACTTGTAGGATATGAGTTTGAAGTGAGAAGAAGATTGCTGCTACTCTGAACTCTGTACATTGCTCAGAAATTGAGTGCACAACAACTGTTTGGTATTCTGCCCTGGCTCAAAGACTTTACCGAACGAAGGCCTCTGCGATGCCACAATTTAGAAAATTTCAATACAAAGTCAACCTTATGAATAAGGCAGAAACAAGACTCCTGTAAATGAACATCCAGGAAAACTTTTAAAAAGTTCCCCTACAGGCTTTTCTGTGTTGCCTTTCTTACTGCCAAACTTGTGACCATTTCTTTGCCATATGCCAGTGGTGGCGAAACTATGGCACGGGTGCCAGAGGTGGAACTCAGAGCCCTCTCTGTGGGCACGCGTGCCATCGCCCCAGCCAGCCCTAGACCATCATTAAAGTGTCGAATTCTCTGCCAAATAATTTTAAGTAAATGAAAGCATTTGAGATTGCTTTCCTTACTTTGTTTGGATCATCTTAAATTAATGTATGAGTTGTTTTTTCTAAAGTAAAACCTCAGTATTCAGGTTAAATTGCCGTGTTGGCACTTTGCGATAAATAAGTGGGTTTTGGGTCGCAGTTTGGGCACTCGGTCTCAAAAAGGTTCGCCGTCACTGCCCTATGCACATGGTATGTATATCTGCAGACCTTAAAGTGACTATTCTAAAAGTGAATTTCAAAAAAGGACATAGTAGGAGACTGCTGAGATCCCACTATAACCACTGGCCAACTCCCACCTTTTCCTAGGTTTACCCCAGGCCAGGGGCATTGCTGGGGGGGGTTCCGCAGCCCCCCCCGCTAAATTTCTGGGGAGTTCTTCCCTGAATCCCTCATGGCTCCGCCTCCATAGATAGTGACAATGGCTTCCGATGTCACTGGCTCCTCCCTATGATGTCACTGGGCCCCGGTTCTTTAAAGGACTTAGCATAGCAATGACTCTGGCCTAGCCCCAGCCAGGGCCGGTGCCAGGTTTTTTTGCACACTAGGCGAGGCTACCTTCTGGCGCCCGCCCCCCCTTTGCACCCACCAATTTTCAAACATAAATGCCTTTTAGGAAGAATGAAAAACTCAAAAATTGAAATTGCTAATTTCAAAAAGCAGCGCAGGGCAGCACAGAAGTTAGGGCCGAGCACAGGGAATTACTTTTGTCAAGATGAGTTAGTCTGCCTCAACGGGAAAAAAGAGCAAGAGTCCACAAACATAAGAACATAAGAGATGCCAATGTTGGATCAGGCCAAAGGCCCATCCAGTTCAACACTCTGTCACACAGTGGCCAAAAATACCAGGTGCCATCCGGAGGTCCACCGGTGGGGCCAGGATGTTAGAAGCCCTCCCACTGTTGACCCCCCCGAGCATCACTTGCCCCAGAGCCCCTATCTATACCTTGTGGCTAATAGCCACTGATGGACCTCTGCTCGTGACAATGGCTTCCGATGTCACTGGCTCCTCCCTATGATGTCACTGGGCCCCGGTTCTTTAAAGGACTTAGCATAGCAATGACTCTGGCCTAGCCCCAGCCAGGGCCGGTGCCAGGTTTTTTTGCACACTAGGCGAGGCTACCTTCTGGCGCCCGCCCCCCCTTTGCACCCACCAATTTTCAAACATAAATGCCTTTTAGGAAGAATGAAAAACTCAAAAATTGAAATTGCTAATTTCAAAAAGCAGCGCAGGGCAGCACAGAAGTTAGGGCCGAGCACAGGGAATTACTTTTGTCAAGATGAGTTAGTCTGCCTCAACGGGAAAAAAGAGCAAGAGTCCACAAACATAAGAACATAAGAGATGCCAATGTTGGATCAGGCCAAAGGCCCATCCAGTTCAACACTCTGTCACACAGTGGCCAAAAATACCAGGTGCCATCCGGAGGTCCACCGGTGGGGCCAGGATGTTAGAAGCCCTCCCACTGTTGACCCCCCCGAGCATCACTTGCCCCAGAGCCCCTATCTATACCTTGTGGCTAATAGCCACTGATGGACCTCTGCTCCATATTCTTATCCAATTTCCTCTTGAAGCCTTCCATGCTTGTAGCTGCCACCACCTCCTGTAGCAGTGATGTGTTAATCACTCTTTGGGTGAAGAAGTACTTCCTTTTATCCGTTCTAACCCGACCGCTCAG